AACTTCAGGTCTTTATATAAGACGAAATTGACAAAATATGGAAATCAATTAATTAGTTAATTGTTCTGAATATTGGCTCATATATGATTGTCTTATATAGTAACATAATACAGACTCTACACATTTGATACATATTTTCCTATACATTCATTAATATCAGCAAATTTCTCAAATGTCTATGTTTTAGTGTCTTTTATGATAACCATGCTGCCAGACTCATAAATGAATTTCAATTTATTAAGGTAATTCGAACAAAACATTTTTCGATACCAGAGCATTTCAAAGATTGGAGAGTTTGACTTAATTTTTAGAAAATGAGCTTTTCAATTGAGCTCCAATTCTATCTATCTTGTCAAATATCAAAAGCCTCAGTTCAATTGACATTAGCATCTGACTATAACAATAAGTGTATATATTCATGCAAACAGTTTTAGTAGCCTATTGTATTTATAGAAGTGAGTTGAACTTGTTGACGCGACTTGGTCTTGTTGTCAGGGCGACTTAGTAGAACGCACCAAGTCCGAGGTCGTCTGCCATAATAATTGTCATGATTCCAAACATCATACAGTGGACTTGGTACATTCTCAAACGTTTAGTCGGCATCGTAGTCGGCATCATTAGTAAGTTATGCCATTCTCCGCACAAAACTACGAGCTCGTCAAAGAGACAAGTAAAGTCAATCCTTCCACCTGACAATAAGACCAAGTTGCGACAACGAGGTCAACCCACTTCTATAAATCGAAAGAAGGCTGCGACCATACCAGAGGCCACAATATCTTGGAATTCACATCTTCAATTACTCTTTTATATTTCATTTATAAGTTCGTTTTCAAGACTACCAATAGAAGGGTAGGAGTGAGCTTTTAAAAATGGCCAAATTTAACCTACGTATTTATTCGAGTTATTTAACACGGTGATGAAGTAATGGTAGTAAGATTTTCCCACCATAATAGAGGAGGCCTCTTCATGCTTCCATTAAAATCCGCACAGTCTTACTTTCCAAAAAGTATGCCCATCCTGGCAGGAGTAGACTGCAATTCCGACCCTACTCAGATCTCATCAGTATCCACAGTGGGACTCGAACCCAAGTCTTTGAAGTGCAACCTATAGTCTCTGTAAGTTAACCACTATGCCACTCTGCCACGAGTGCCCCTGGGTCTCAAGGCAGAAAAGAAGTTTAACTTTTCGATATCACAATTCTTTAATGAAATTATCGACGAAGCAAAGTGGTATTTTCTTTTACAATCGATCTCATTACTTATTTTTCGTTTATAAAAATATTTTCAAGACAACCAGTAAGAGCCGAATTTATCCAATTTCGTTTAAGGTAATAATGCCTTCTTGAAAATAACTTCTGCCCTGTGACTCAAAGTCTTTTCTAGCAGTATGCCGTAATAGCCAACGTGCCAAGCCGGGCTATGTAAAATTCAATGGAGATATGAAGTCTATGGATATAATTGTGAGGAAATTCAACTATCAGTTTTCATTCGCCTTAAACGAAATTGGATGAATAAAGTTCGCATATATCAGCTACTGGTAGTTTTAAAAACCTACTTATAGATAGAGAACATGTGAATCACTTCTGCTTGCAGTATACTTTGTCAATTTGATTTAAAAACTAAATAAATCAAAATTATTTAAAGAAGAAAATCAAGATAAAAGCATCTAAGTTGACTAAAACTTACATCACCAGTAAAAAGCAGAGAAGGTATCATTCGGAGTATTAATATTGTCCAGAAGATATGAAGTCCTTGGAGGCCAATTAGAAGAATCAAGAAAAGTGTTCTCGAAGGCATTGGTTCCAGAAAACGAGCATGCACTAGAACTGAATGGATGACCCTGAACAGTTGAAAAGAAGATATAAGAGATAGATATCCTTAAACATGTAGAATTCTTGAGGTAACCGAAAAGCATAAAAGTAAATTCAAATAAAAACGTATAATATTTTTTCTCTATAGAGTTGCGGAACAAACACATTATTGTTCTCTAGAAACGAATTATGTGGTGATACCATATCTCACTACGATTTTCTACTATATCATAATCACTCTTTTAGCCCTAGTTTTATTTATAGTTAAGCACTCTATTTGCTAGCAATGGAATTATTCTGATTTAAACCCATCCTTGTTTGATGTCATATGATTTTATTTCATAAAAGAACAAAATAAATGGTTTTTACTTCTGAATCCCGTAATGTAGGTGCCTTTGTAATGGCATTTAACGAAGTGTGCCCAACCCAATTAGTTGTGAGGATCATAAAGGAATATATAAATTAAAAAACCTTTCGTTTAAATGTAATTGGTCTTTTTTATGCAAAAGAATCGCAGAAGTTTGATGAGCTTTGTCAGACACATAATTTTTGTATCCTGTCACTATAAAAAACCTGAGGAAATAATGCGAAGGCCAAGATATTTATTTTAGATGTCATTATGAACAAAGTAAAACAATAAAAACAAGATTCTTTTCATCAATAGCTGAAATACAGCCCTACAATGCAAGATCTTTTGGGCTTGAAGCCCAACTACTGCAGACGTAAGTAATAATGGGGAGGTAAGAGCATGAGACTTTATCCATCAAAACAGCACATTGCTAGAGTTCTTAAAACAGCCTGTGCCAAATATTGTATCCAAAACTCTACACATTATCTTTATGCTGTGGTATTATCCTGTTTTCAAACTCACAATACATCAAGAAATACAAGATATTCACTATTCATTATATTAGATTGGGTGAGATATTCGTAAAATGAAAAAAGTCCTCATTTCCTTGTCTCAACAAGACCACAATTTCACTAATAAAGAGGTGCAAAAACAGTTTGGCAATCCATATACCGGAAATTAAAAATAAAACAATATTATTCACTACGTCCCTGTATAAGACATTTCAGACAGAATATTGGAAACACAGAACAGCTCTGTCCGTTTGTCTTGAATCAGCACCACAAAAAGAGCAATAAAAAGCCTAAATGAATACAAAAGCGAAGAGGTTAAGCCGGCAACCACTTTGGAACTTATATAACATCATATATCTACGCGTAAATATTAAATTTGATTAAATTTTAAGCATCCATAATGGACAAATAGTCAGAGCAGGACACCATGCTTTACAACAATTCACCAAACAAAAAGACAAGAAATGTGACATGATTTGGTTGGATGTCCTATGTTTTCCCAAAATGTTTGCTAAAAATTGAAGTGACTGCAAATGAAGCTTGAAAATTAGAAAGTCGCCTAATACAAAAAGCATGTTTAGTTCCTAAATTATGGGTTAGGTACATGGATGAATATTTTGTCGTATATTAACATGACAAAGAACTACTTGGAGAATTCATAATGGAAATGCATAGAATTGACGGAAATATCAAGTTCAACATGGCACTAGAAAAGAATGGTAGACTACCTTTTCTAAATGTTTTAGTTGGCAAAGAGTTAAACAAACTAGATAAAAGTGTGTATATTAAACCCAAAAATACAGAGTTTATTTTAGATTTCTTTTCGACGCATCATTATATAGTTAAATTAGGAGTACTGAAATCCATGATAATAAGGGGCCTGAGTCTTGCAGATGTTAACCATCGGGAGCAGGAATTGAGGCGATTAAGGAAAAATTTGGCTGAGAATGATTTAATGTTTAGGATTAATTAAGAATTGCTTTAAACTTGTTGCGAATAGATTGGGGGTAAGTATTTATTTGGGACAAGATAGGCAGCTGGATCACTCGACTAGGGTCCTGATGTTACCGTCATGTCATCTTTCGAAAAATACAAGTGGAAAACTGGAGATCAGAACAAATTACAATGAGAAAATAACACTTTCCTCAATAATGCCACCCAAATCAGGCTGATATAATGTTTTGTGTTTATGTGGTCGAGTCTATGTGGGTGAGACCTGTCGTACCATGCATAAGAGGTTGTCTAAACATAACAAATCCAGCAAAAGTTTGTGGACCCAAAAGTAGGAACTGGCCGAACACAGACACCGAAAACAGAAAGCCAGATAGGTTGATGTAATGAGAAACATTTGACTGCACATGGGGACTATACCAGTAAGGGAAAAATTAGGGAATCTATGGAACGCAACAAAATAGCAAACATGCTGAATAAAAGAAACGAGTGAAAATGCAGCGCTTCCCCTTTTTTCCCTTGAATTGCGAAAAGCACACTCATCTCGTCCTTCAAGTTGACACTTCCATCTAATCCTAGTAAACTATGATGTTCATGTGTTTGTTGGCTGGTATCTTCCGTGGTCAGGCCTGTAACCAGTCATCTCCCCTTCCGCCACAAATATGAAAAATGCACACAAACACCCAGACACACATACTGGTCACTCATATCTGGCCCACCCATACATTTAGCCTTTAATTTCATAGCATTTTGGGGCCAATTCTTGGTTTGACTCGTCTCATTGCAGTCAATTTTGCTTGAATTCCCTTTGTTACTCACGAGCCGCTTCTTGAGGATGTCTCTTGCAGTTGTCGACCAGTTGTTCTGGCTCCAAGCGTATCCTTTTTGATGTATTCGCTGAATATCCAAGTCTGCTTAGGCAGTACGGGAAGTTATCGCTGACTCTTCCCTCTTCCAATCTCCAGGTCAGCAGGTTTCTTTGGAAGTGGATGTCCACAGCCTTCTTGATCTTCCGTTTCCAGGTGTTCTCTCCAAATGATGGATATGTCTGCCCTCCCGTCGAATGGCTCAGAAGCTACAGCCAACACCAGAGTAATGGAACATTCGCACAACTCTGAAGAAAAGTGCAACCCTTTCCACCAGCTTGCACACACACAACATAAAGAAGCCAACAAAATAGAGTGCTCCGGAGTTTACAGCACAAACTGCAAGGACTGTGAAGAAAAATACTTGGGAGAGACGGAAAGGACATTCTGCGAATATGCATAAAATGGGTACGGATTGATCGAAGATAGCTGAACACATCGCCGTCACCGACTGGAATGACTGGGGAAAACATCAGGAAAAAGAAGATTAGTAGAGCTTTGGACATCCTCTTTCAAAGAGATCTGCTGAACCGGAGATTGGAAGAGGCAAGAGTCAGCGATAACTTCCAGTACTGCCTAAGCAGACTTGGATATTCAGCGAATACATCAAGAGGAAGAGTAATTTCTCCGGACTTTGCTAAACCCCAGACAATCCCCCTTAAGCTTCGGGTAAAGCTCAGCCAATTAATCCCTTTCACATGCCACTCAAAACCAAATCAAAGTTAGCTTGACACCATCCCATTAAGGACTGGATTTCTCGCTTAACGAGGAGTGATTCTACAACGGTTCAACCTAAAATTGGTCACGGAAGATTTCTCTCACTTGTCACTTTGACAAGTTGTAACTCTGTGCTTACGATGGCGTCCCTCACTGTCGATGCCGCCGAAACGTCTGGGAATGTACACAGCCAATGGTCCCATACTAGAAATTACGAATACTGTGGAAGAGGACACGAGACTAGGTACGTTCCACAAGGTCTCCCTGACGCTCCGACCAAGTTACGATAACAAGGTCGAGCCAACATTACAAGAACCACTTATACTTGTATATATATAAAAAATATGGGTTTCGAATAATCTCTTGAGATAAGATTGTTGAATAGACCTCATTTCTTATGGAAGTGCATGATATATGAAACACCTTGGGTATAAGGATCTGTTCAAAAGACCTCGCATTTAAGGCAAATATTTATAAGAATAGGTCTA